GGGAGGCAGAGACAGGTGGATTTCTGAGTTTGAGGCCAGCCTGGTCTACAGAGTGAGCTCCAGGACAGCCAGGGCTACACAGAAAAACCCTGTCTCGAAAAACCAAAAAAAAAACCCAAAGGGTAGCTCCCCTCTGTTCTAAAGCGCTGGAAAATCTAAACCCGAACCCTCCAAGTGACTGATTGTCTCCTGCTCTCTTTTGTACCTGAAACCTATTTTCCAGGTGGTAAAACCTGGAAACGGTACCTTCTCTTTCAGGAGCCAGGCCATAAAGAACCCAAAAGTCTGTGCCTTCAAGGCCCAATTCATTTGCCATCTCCCCAGGGAACTGGGCTGACCGGACTCCCACGCTGCGCTGTTAGGGTTCCCTGCACTCAACTCTCAGCTCCCCCTAGGGGCAGGGACTCTCCCGAGCGCCCACACTCCGATCTAGGCCACGTAATCCTTCAAGGGTAAGCGGAACTCAGGTGAGAGGAGGGTGCTTTCTCCTAGGGCTGCAGAAGCCACCCCCGCGCTGAGGTAGGGAGTAGCGGCGTAGGCGGGGAACCCCCTCCTCCGCAGTAAGCGTCCCGGCACCCTTCGCCCTGTGTAGACCTAGCACTTTGCAGACGCTCCCTAGGCAGTTTCTAGGCTCCCCTAAGTCCCTCCTCCTGACTCCTCCAGTTCCTCGTACCTAGCCTAGAACAGTCCAGAGCAGCACCGAGGAAGGAGTGTCCAGCGATCCTTTCCCCAGGGTTGAGCTTGTGAGAGGTTCACTGTCTGAAAGTAGCTCCCATTACCCGGAACCCAGCTGGGGAGGTTGTGGACTGGCCGCTCAGATTGGGGCGCTTGTTTATGAAAAGAATTTCCTCTTTCTTAAAAGGGCAACGAAAAGAGTGGGGCCCAAAAGGAGCGGCGAAGGGAGCGGTCTGGCGCAACCCGAATAGCAGTCAGAGAGGGTGCCTGAGCAAGCGTACCTCCCCACGCCTTGGTGCTTACTGCTGGAGAAGATGGGAGCCGAGATAGCATGAAGGGGTAGGGGGCTGGCGAAGAAAGCTTCTCCAGACTCCCCTTCAGTTTCTCCTAAGTGTCCCCCAACTTGCTGCTGAGTCTGGCAATTCACTTGGCATTAATTGGGTGCTTTATTTTTTATTTTTCGTGATAAGCCCTGGGTTAGAAGTGGAGGAGAGGTAAAGCCCCGAATTAACGAGGATGCCAGCTGTCAAGGTGCTCTCGGGGCAAGGGGGTGAGAGGGCTAAATAAACTGAGGCAGGATGAGGGAGGCCTGCACCTGACACAGTGAGTTAGGGAGAAGACCACTGAGCACAGGATTTTGAAAGTTAAATTTGAAAGGGCTGTCAGTGAGCATGTCCAAAATTCTTGGTTCTCAGAGGCTGTGGCACGGGGTTGGGGAACCCAGGAGGAGGGGAAAGCGGATCATATGAATAGCTAGGGTTAGGACTTAGGATTGAGCGCTGAGAAGGTAAGTGTGCCTCAGAACACTACTCCTCCGTCTACTGCACTTCCCAGCGCCCCTGCCAGGGAATGGCGGGTGGCTGCTAACAGCAGTTCCAGGGGACAGGACACTCTTCAAGCCTCGCTGCATACACTACCACACAGGCATAAAAAGAAATCTTAGCCGAGCATTGGGGCACACTCCTTAAGAAGCAGGTGGATCTCTATGCACTGGAGGCAAAGCCAGCTCTGTCCAAGTAGCAAATTTCAGCTCAGCAAAAGCTTCATAGTGAGACTCGCTCTCAAAATTAATACGGAGGAGGAGGAGGGGGAGGAGGAGGAGGAGGAGGAGAAGTCATCATCTTGGGGTCAGTGAGATGACTCAGTATATCGAGGTACCAGGGTACCAGTCACCATTCCCGAGGATCAGAGTTCAGTCCTTGGGACCTACACGGGTGGATTCTCTAGCTCATGCCTGCTCACACACACAAAAATAATGATTTATCCCGGTACGCGCCACAGGGTTTCTCTGTGTAGCCCTGGCTGTTCTGGAACTCACTTTGTAAAAGAGACTGGTCTTGAACTCAGACATCTGCCTGCCTCTGCCTCCTGAGTGCTGGGATTAAGCCAACCTGTCTGGTTTACCAAGGCCCAAGGTCAGGGCTAAGGGCAGCCATTTCCAGCCAGAAGCTGGCCCTTAGCGTTCCTCCATCACCGTGGTTGCCCTAATGACCCCAGCCCAAAACTCAAACTGAGTTTATGGAAAGAGGCCCACCTTAGAGTTTTCCTGGGACCTCCACAAGCCCTAGGTGGGAGTAATCTGCCAGGGTTCTGCTTCCCAGGAGCAGGCTGAGGGCCTTCTATCAGGCCTCCCGTCCAGGCCATCCACAAACGGGGAAACTGAGGTACTGGAGAGAAGGACCCTTGTCTCAGTTGCCTGACAGTATCCTGCTTAGTCCCCGGATCGAAGCCCACACTATTGTTTTTCTTGGGGATGAGTATTAAAATAATAATCATAGGGGCTGGAGAGATGGCTCAGTGGTTAACAGCACTGACTGCTCTCCCAAGAATCCTGAGTTCAATTCCCAGCAACCACATGGTGGCTCACAACCATCTGTAACGGGGATGTGTCTGGTATACTCATATACATAAAAGAATAAATCTCTAAAAAAATAATCGTAATAAATTGTGTGGGTAAAGCCCTTACCAACTGCTGGGAGAGAGGAGACAGCAGTGGGACCTATGCTCCCCTGCGAGGAAACAAACAAACAAACAAACAGCCCCCACCCTCTGGACTGGCCTGGAATTCTCACGATATGGCACCAGAACAGGGCGAGGGCCAGCAAGCTTCCGGCAGAAGGTGGGAGGGACCCCATCTAGGCTCTCTGGCTCCATAAGGGATCCCCAGCTAAGGCCTAGAGGTGGTGATAGGGCTTTGTTTGGGGTGGCTTCTGAGGACTAGTGTGAATTTAGAGGGCAGGCTCCTGTGTGAGTGTGTGTGTGTGTGTGGGGGGGTAGGGTGTTGGGGAACGACTGGAATCAAGGCACCAGCCACAAGCCCAGTCGCTGGCCCGGGGCTCATTCAACTTCGGGTCACACATTTCCTGTTGGGAACAGTGCATGGCCAGCTAAGAAAGCTGAGGCACCCCCGGTGGGTCTGGCCAAGAAGAGGCGCTCGGAGAGAGGTGGAAGGGCCTGGGCTGATGCCTTCACTTTCTCAAGCTGTCCCCTCTTCTGTCAAAAAGGAAAGAGGGGGATCTTTCCGAGGAGTCCATTGGATCCCGAGTGCAATTAAGGGCGCGCGACCCAGGGCACCAACACACGGAGGCGAAGACCTTGGGGTGTCAGGATGGCAGCCTTGGGGCTCCCCAAGGGCAGAAGGAGGGGTCAGGTGTCAGCGTCCCACACTCCTTGCCGGTCTGGGGCACCGAGCTGGTGCAGCAGCATCTCAGGGGCCAGGCTCCCAGCCCGCTCTCTGCTGGGAAGCCACAGGACGCCCACCCCGCCACACCCCGCCACAGGGCCCAGGGGAGGAAATGAGGCGTGCGTGTCAAGGCTTGGCATTCGTGTTTTTTAAATTAAGGCGAATGAAAGGAACTTTGTAAGACAGGAAAAATAAAAAATAAAAATAAACGAACCGCAGCCCGAGAGCGGCGCAACTGGGGGCTTCCTGCGAGAAGATTCTGTATGTAAACGCAGATCCAGGCTCTGGCTGGGGTGTGTCACCAGAGATCCGGTGACACGTGTGTTTAAAATCTGAATGGTTGCAGTCTCAGGCGCCTAAGGGCGGGCGCTGGGCCCTCCCTCCGAGGGCGTCCCTGGGCACTTGGGAACACAGCCAGCCCTAGAACTGGCCCCTCTAATAATCACAGATAGGGGCGGTGGGGTGGGGGTGGAGGGCCTCTAAACAAGGTGGTATTTCTTCTAGTTTGATGGGATTTGGCTCTGCCAAGGACGAGGAGGCACGTTCCAAGCCGAGAGAACAGCACGTACAAGATACAAGGCCCTGCGCAACAGAGGCTCGGCTGCCAGGGGAAACGCTAAGTGTTTGGCAGGGGAAGAGGGCTAGATTTGCTACAGGACAATCGGTAAAGGTAGGCGCAGACGTGGAATTTTCACATCTTGTGATGTTCTGCAGTGTGTGCTGATTGTTGGATCACGAACATAATTTAGGACTGGAGAGGTGGTTCAGCCATTAGGAGAAATTACTGCTCTTACCGACCACCTGAACGAGTTCAGGTGCCAGCACACACATAGGGCGGCTAACAACTGCCCGTAACTCGACTCCAGGGATGGCGCCCTCTTCTGGCCTTTGAAGACTCTGGCACACATACACAGAACTAAAAATCAATCTTTCTACAACTCCATAATTTGATGAGTTTGCATAACTGGAGCTAGCAAAGAATGCCTTTTTTTTGGGGGGGGTGTGATATCCACAACGTTAGACAAAAGACCCACTGTAAAAGCGGTGAGAAGGCTTAGGGGGTAAAGCCTGACCACCTGAGTTTGATGCCGCTCCCAAATAGAAGAAGAGAACTTCTGATCTCCACCCGCAGAATGTGTATCCTCCTCCACACAAGTAAACATAACTTTAAATTTTTTTAGGGGCACATTTTACTCTTAAAAGGATCCTATTTCCGTTCCTAGAGCCCACGCCCTCTATTAACTCCAGTTCCAGAGGAATCTGTCGCCCTCTTCTGCCCTCAGAGTGCGCATACATATTTACAGGCCATACACAAAGAATATTTCAAAAATTTAAAAAATATATATAAAAAACCACTTTACAGAAAGTTAGCGTCATCCCATTTTCCAGAGGAACAAACGGAGGCAGCTCGCGTCAGCACTTTGGAATGCGCGGAGGTGGAGCCCCATCGTCCTCGGGCACTCCGGGACGGGGCGCTCGGGGCGGGCTTCAAGCCCCGGGGCTCCGTGGCCCGCAGCGGCGGCTTACGGCCGTCCGCTCTGCCACGCAGCCGCAGACGCTTGGTCGGGCCGGCACACCGCAGGAAGAGAGGCGACGCCCCCTGGATCTCCGCAGGAACCCGGCCCGCCTCCCAGCCCGCCAGGCCCCAGAAGTGATGAAAGCTGCGGCCGAGTCCCAGCCGCGCCGAAGCCGTTGCCCTTTTAAGGGGAAGCCTTGAAACGGCGCCCGGGTTCCATGTTTGCATCCGCCTCGCGGGGAGGAAACTCCATGTTGTAACAAAGTTTCCTCCGCGCCCCCTCCCTCCCCCTCCCCCCGAGAACCTGGCTCCCCTCCCCTCCGAAGCTCGCGGGGATCCCTCCCTCCCACCCTCCCCTCCCCCCCGCGCCCCGATTCCGGCCCGAGCCGGGGGGGAGGCCGGGCACCGGGGCCAGAGTCCGGCCGGAGCGGAGCGCGCCGGGCCCCATGGACAGCTCGGCCGTCATTACTCAGATCAGCAAGGAGGAGGCGCGGGGCCCGCTGCGGGGCAAAGGTACGCGGGCGGCGGGAGGGGAGAACGGGGCTAGGGGCCGTCCCCGCGCCGCGGTCGCTGCCACTGTCCCGGGCGCGCGCCTCGGCCCAGGCCGAGCCCCCGCCAGTGGGGCCGGAGAGAGTTTGAACTCCGCGAGAGTCCGAGGCGCGGGGCGGGGCCTGGCGCCACTCGTGCGCTCGGCTATGCTTGTAGTGGGGAAACTGAGGCAGGAGGCGGGCGACGGGCTGGGAGGCTGCCGATTCCCGGGCGTCGCCCCCTCCCCCAGTTTGGCGCCAATGGGACTCGAAGGTGGGGGTGAGGCGGCCGCCTGGCCACCCGCCGAGGCTCCGCCCCCTCCTGGCTGAGGTCTGGAAGGGGTGCCGGGGTGACAGCGGGCTGGGGAGTCTTGCAGGGATCTCCCGCCAACACACAACCAGGTCCCCACAAACTTGGGCGTCACTCGTGGAGGTGCGGACGACGCCCTCGGAGGCAGAGAGCCGCTAGCTTTGCAAGGCAGACTTGGGGGCCTTGTGTCCAGCTGGGCACGCGGCACCCCGGCTGCAACAGGCCAGGCCTGGTGGCGGCGGGCCTGTGCACACGCACCCACCCTGTAACGGGCCGGCCTGTGCGCAGACCCTGGGGCTGGCAAGAGTGGGGTTCACCCCCCTCCGCTGTGTGGATTTCAAGCTTGGGAAGTCACTCGGGGTTTGTCCACTATCCAGCCCTAGCTCTTTGGGGTGGAGTGGGGGGCTGGAGGCAGAAAGGATTAGAGAAGAGGCTTGGTGGGGGTAGGTCTGTCAGTGAGACAGGCCGCTGCTTCTCAGTAAGTCTAAGGTTGAGACGGGGCGGGGTGAAGGAGGTGGGGCCGGCGGGGCTGACAGCCCTGGGACACTGGCCTCTGGGCCCAGGCCCAATGAGGACTTTGGACTCACTGGGTAGACAGAATGGAGGGAGAGTGGGAGTGGACGACGGGGCCCCGAGCCCTGGCGGTCCTGAGCAGGGGCTGCTCAGGTAAGGTCCACCTGTGGGGTCAGATGATTGAGAACCAACCGTGAGAAAAATCGGTCCCCTCCTCAAGCCACCTACTCCGTAAAGTGGCTGCCCTCTTAGCCACACCAGATTTCCTTAAGTAGCAGAGTTGCAGGAGCCCCGGAGTAGCCTGTGGTGGGGTCCCTGGAAGGGGGTTTTTTCTGGAGGACAGCCAGCCAGAGCCACCCTGGTCTCCTGATGGAGGGAGACCGCTCACCGTTCTCTGTGCTCGGGATTGAGTCCCGAGTGCATGCAGCCAGTATGCCCACATTCACGTCTTGCTTCAGGTGACCAGAAGTCAGCAGTTTCCCAGAAGCCCCGGAGTCGGGGCATCCTCCACTCCCTCTTCTGCTGTGTCTGCCGAGATGATGGGGAGCCCTTGCCTTCCCACAGTGGGGCTCCCCTGCTGGTGGAGGAAAATGGCGCCATCCCTAAGGTTTGTGGTGATGAGGAGGGAACTGCAGGTGCACCCGGACCTAGCCGGAAGTGGACTTGGCAGACAGGGGTATGGGGCCGAACTTCACAGACACACGTGCAGACCCTAAAATGTGCAGAGAGGGAGACCGATTGCCCATTAGGTCCTCCCCTTTCCAACCTCCCCACCGCAGCCTCCTATCCTAGCTCACGCTTCCGCCTTCCTTATTGGTGGGAACTTTATGAGGCGGGGAAGAAGGAAAGATCCATATAGCTTACCCTTGGCTCATGGTTTGCAAGACCCAAAGCTGGGGAGGGGGTAGAAGGTCTGGTTGGCTGCTCATATAGAGATCTGGGGCGGGAGGTCCGTGTAGGAGGTGCCCTCCCAGACCAGCCCCTCCCCACAGCACACCCCCGTCCAGTACCTGCTTCCCGAGGCCAAGGCCCAGGACTCAGACAAGATCTGCGTTGTCATCGACCTGGACGAGACCCTGGTGCACAGCTCCTTCAAGGTGGGCCCTGCCCAGCAGCTCTCAGCCTACAGTCTCTTGAGGGGGCCTACCCGGCCAGGGAGGGAGGTCTCTGCCGAATTTCCACCCAGGGGATTCCCTCCCGCGCCAGCTGCAGCCAACCTTCTTTCCTTACAGCCCGTGAACAACGCTGACTTCATCATCCCAGTGGAGATTGATGGAGTGGTCCACCAGGTGAGGGGCAGAGGGAGGTGGGGGGGTTGGTGTCTGCACTACACCCAGGTACCTCCCACCAATCTTGAGAGAGCCCCACATGGAGCACTAATAGATGGGGCATGTCCAAAGCTCAAAGAGGGTGAGAACCCAAGACTCCCTGGTCCTCCAGAGATGGAGGCAGACTCCAGACCTGCAGACTGGGCTCCTCCTATCTTGTGGAACTCTCTTTCCTCTCTTACCCCCACTGCCCGGGACCCAGTTCAAGTAATTCAGGATAGGTTGTGGTGCTGGCCAGCCTGTTCTCCATTACTTGGCTCGGGGGCCGGTGCCCTGCAGCCTTGGGGTGAGAGGGCTAACCTGGACTCCTGCATTTGGATAAAACCAATGTGGGAAAGGGAGTGACCCCCACTCGGTGAGGTGGGAGCACCGGAGTCACATTCTAATCCTCTTTAGGAAGGGGGATGGTTGGGAAAGCTTGCGGCCCAGCTTCTCTAGACTGTCCTACCTCCTTCACTATTCCTGCCCCCTTTTTGTTGATCACCCCAAAGCCCGTGGGCCAGCAGCCCCCTCACTGGCTCGCTCCCCAGGTCTATGTGCTGAAGCGGCCCCACGTAGATGAATTCCTTCAGCGAATGGGCGAGCTCTTTGAGTGTGTGCTGTTCACTGCCAGCCTTGCCAAGGTGAGCCCTTGCCGGGGATCTGGGTCAGTCATACCCTCCCACCCACTGTGAACATGTATTTTAGCTGCAGCCCTGGACATTACTCACTCTGAGGTGTCTTTCCTCCTACCCCAGTATGCAGACCCTGTAGCTGATCTGCTGGACAAGTGGGGAGCCTTCCGTGCCAGGCTGTTTCGAGAGTCATGTGTCTTCCACCGGGGCAACTACGTAAAGGACCTGAGCAGGCTGGGCCGAGACCTGCGGCGGGTGCTCATTTTAGACAACTCACCCGCCTCCTACGTCTTCCATCCAGACAATGCCGTGAGTACACATGAGCCCCGGCGGCTGAGACAGAGACCAGAGCACATGTGTGGTGGCCTCCCCAGCCTTACGTGGGGTGTTAGCGGGGGCTGGTATTGTCCTATTACCTGTGTCACTATTCCACTCTGCCTGTGTATGGAGGGTCCTCACCTCTGGCTGGGGTCCCCATTTGACAGTCTTCAAAGCTACCAGATATGGCCTGTTAATGGGACAGAACTAATGTAGTCAGTCCCAGTTAGGATCCTACTGAATGAAACACAGTAAGCTTAACTATGTTTGTGAACATTTTGCTTGCTGGTATCTACAAATGAATTCCACTGTCAGCTGCCCAAAAAAGAAAGAAAGGAAGGAAGGAAGGAAGGAAGGAAGGAAGGAAGGAAGGAAGAAAAAGGAAAGGAAAGGAAAGGAAAGGAAAGGAAAGGAAAGGAAAGGAAAGGAAAGGAAAGGAAAGGAAAGGAAAACCCAAAAAGTATGTGCCATATGGGCAGGGACGGGCTGGACAGGGGACACCCTGGGACACTGGCCCTCCTCACTTTCTTGTCATCTCTCCAGGTACCAGTGGCCTCGTGGTTTGACAACATGAGTGACACTGAGCTACACGATCTCTTACCCTTCTTTGAGCAACTCAGCCGAGTGGACGACGTATACTCAGTGCTCAGACAGCCTAGGCCTGGGAGCTAGTGAGGTGTCTTGGGGCCAGGACCTGCCCCTCACCAAGGCCCACGCCTCTTCCCAGCAGACTGTGGGCACCTGCCTGTGCTGTTAACAAAACCCGTGGGCTATGTCATGTTCATGGCCCTGGGGAAGAGGTGTCTCCCTGGCCATGTTGCGTGGAGGACAGTGAGCCCTTGGGTCCCTGTGTCAGTGCCTTCAAATTTAATCCCCTCTTCTCAGGGGACCTGGGGAGCCCTGCCTGCTGCTCCCCACCTCTGTCTTCTCTTCTCCACGCTGCCATGTTTCTCTGCTGCCAAATCGGGCCTCTTCGCCCCAGTTCTGCTTTGGGGGTAGGGACAGGGTTTTTGCTGCCCCTTACCTTGGATTCCCCCAGTCGGGAACAGTGGACACCCAAGTGCCTTGCATACAGCCCTTTTTACTTGTCAGCTTTCCCAGATCTAGGCTGACCTGAGAGAAACCAATTTCTCCCCTTCCCCTCCTCCCTCCTGGGATGATGGTACCCCACCAGTTTCTACGTGGGAAGGAGAGGAAGAAAGTGTATTACAATACACTTGTAAAAGAGCTGGGGGCCCTCCTCGGGAGGAACGGTCCAGCTTGTCCAAGGCTGATGGCTGCTCATATATCACTTAAGTTCCAAGTCTCCCCAAAGCCCTGGGGCTTGGCAGGATGCCCCCATGGTGCCATATAAATATGTATATGTGTATATAGATTTTTAAGGGAAGGAGAGAGGAAAGGGTGGGAACAGACCCTTCCCTTCACCCTTCCCTGGGCCCAGAAATTTGGGGAGGGAGGGAAAGGATTTTTACATTTTTAAAACTATTTTCTGAATGGAACAAGCTGGGCTGAGGGGTCAGGCCTGGTTTTCTGTCTGTCCCAACCCGTTTACTCTTCATTCAAAAAAACATTTATTGAGTACTTTCAGTGCCCAGCAGTGAGCTAGTCCCACCAGCTTAGTGGGGGTGGAGATGGGGTGTCTGCTTCATCCATGCCTCATCCCTAAGCCCCGGACATCATGTCATGTGCCTTCAGAGTATCAACAGGAGGTGGAACCTTCTTGGGTTCGGGAGGTCTCCAAACCTTACCAAGCTGCCTCCTCTTGTGCCAATTCACCTCCCTTCCCTGTGCCCTGTGCAGCCTCCTCCATGGCCCCCTGCTGGCTGGGGGCAGCTCCCAGGTCTCTGCCAACTCTGACTTGTGTTTTTAAAGCCCCTCCCCATACCTGCTAAGTCTGGAGTTCAGACCCTTAAGCTCTCTCCCCAGATTGTGAGGGTTAAGTGGACCCACAAACTAGTGCCGAGGGAGTTGATGAAGGGGGAGAGGATATGGTTGGCCGGAATCAGATGACCTTCCCAATTAAGTGCCTTCTCTGTGACCTGAGCACCTCAGTGTGATAACTAAAGAGAAAGCTAGACCCCCTCCTATTCTGCCTCTGTGGTTTTTGGGGCAGGGACTTGAAGTGCGTAAATGTCTCACACTTGTGACTACAGTTTTGACTCTTTTTCATAACCCTACTGGACAGGAGGAAGCCAAGAGGGACAGCCTGGGCACTCGATCTGAGTTCGATTGTTAGAGCCCACGTGATGGAAAGAGAAAACGCACTCCCATAAGTTGTCCTCTGACCTCCTCACATGCACCCTAGCACGAGCTCTCCCCCCCTACAGATACACGCACTCTAAACAAATAAAAAATAAACAAAAACCACCGTGCCCCCACCTCTGGAATGCGGGGCGGGGCGGGAGACGGAAGGCTGGGCAGAGTCGGGCCGCCCTCAGCCCACTGCCTTCCGGGCAGTGGGGCCAGCAAGGAGGAGACTGGGTGGGGCGGGCGCCCGAGGCCTCCCGCCCGCATTGGCCGTGCCCTAGCCACGCCCCGCGGCCGCCTGCCAGCGTTGGCCACGCCCCTCCGGCCAAATTTGTCTTCCGCGAGCCCCGCCTGGGCGGGGCAGGAAGCGCCAAGCCAAGCCGTTGATTGTCGCTAGGGGCCTTCCTGCCCTAGGGGACAGACCCTGGGCTCCTAAGCTTGGCGCCCCCGGGTCTGGAAAGGACGAGGGAGCTTGCCTTGTCCACCTTCCTCTGAAAGCATGGGGCTTCAGACGTCCTCCACTCACAGGGGAGAAGGGATGGTGTACACTTCCCGAATACTGTTCCCTGTCCTCTAACGCCACCTCCTCAGGCCATCCCTTCCTTTTCACCACCAAGAATTTAGCTCCGAGCCTTCTTTTTGCTCCAGGTGTGTGTGTGTGTCTGTGTGTCTGTGTGTCTGTGTGTGTTTGTGCAGTAGGGGGACCGCAAAAGGTGTGAGGCCGCCCCTTTTCGCATTCTGCCTACCCTACCCGACCCCATTACTTTTTACCCAATAGAAAAGGGCCAGGAAACTCCCACCTGAAAAGAAGCCTACCCTAGAATCAGCTCTGGTCTGTAGCTGTAAGGACTCAAAGAGCCTTTTGCACGATTTATACCTTGCCCTTGGCCTCTGCCCGCCCTCAGCCAGAATCAGGCTTGGTTTCCTGCTCTGTATGCAAACGGTAGTCGCCTCAAATTTGCATCCCGGAGACCAGACAAGCAGAGTACCAGCTTCCATTGAGACTCAATCAAACTCCCCTATCCCGCAACCGCACACTCTGCCCACGCATAATTAAATTCAACCACATGTGTGGGTACTTCCTTGTCATCACCAGCCAGTGTCAGGCTGTGCTTCTGCTCTCAAGGAACTCGTCTCAACATTACCGCAAGCAACTTTAGTTTCCGGAGCTGGAGAGATGGCTCCGTGGTTAAGAACACTGACTGCTCTTTCCGAGGATCCCGGTTCAATTTCCAGCACCCAATCGGTAGTTCAGAACCATAAGAAACTCGAGTTCCAAGAGATCCTATGCCCTCTTCTGGCCTCCGATGGCACTGCAGGTATATGGTTCACAGCTATACATGCAGACAAAATATTAAAAAAAAAAAAAAAAAACGAGTCGGAGGATAAAGAAGAAAACTGCCATTAATTCCAGAGTGGTGGAGAGATACTATGTATCTTTTAAGTATGAGTATTCTTTCTCTAGGATCAGCTGCCACTACCGAGCATCGTTTATGTTTCTTTGGTGTTAGTCACTCCAGAGAGGCCTCTGAGTGTAAGTCCCTCAGGGGCCCATTGGGAATATTTCTGGAATTAAAGCATGATTAATTAATTTTTAAAAGTCCGAGAAAGAGAAAAGGAAATTTTCATAGCGAGTGCAGGCATGCGTGCAACCTGACATTTAAGGGAAGAAGTAACTTTCTAGAGAAGCCACATCTTGACTTGGCCTTTGATCATTGTTAAAATCCCTATCGGCAGGGGCTAGGGCATAGCATGCCTGAAGCCTGGCATTTTAACCCCAGTACTGGAAAAAAAGAATCTGGTGGTAAATCAGAAAGACTCATGACTTACTATTTCTGTGGTCCATTTCCTCAGCCCTGAGGTAATGTTATCTACTTGTTGACTGAAGTCTGTGGACCCTCTAAGCCCCCTTGATAGTTGGTTTTTGTTTGTTCGCTTTGTGTTTGAATTCTGGGAATTGAACTAAGGGCCTCAGAGATGCCAGACAAGTGTTTACCACCAAGAGCTATACTTCAGCCCCAATCTAGGCACTAAGACAGTGAGGAGTACTGAGTACTGAGGTTTCAGTACTTACAGTAAGTATGAAGGATGAGTAAACTTGGGGAAAGCTGCCTTAGCTGACTGTGTCACAGGGAAGTGAATAAATGAGAAAGAGACGTTGTCTTTTGAGACAGCATCTTGTGAAGTCCAAGAGATCCTCCTGCCTCACCTTGTAAGTGCTAAGAGTACAAGCTTATGTCACCAAGGTAAGAAATGTAGAGACTTTTTCTTAACAGAGTACAGAACTCTTTAGTTCAGTCAAGAGTGTAACAATAAAAAAGATAAACAAAGGGTCCTGGAGAGATGACTTGGTGTTTAACAGTGCCTTCTGTTCTGCCAGAGGACCCATGTTTAGTTCCCATATCAGAAGCTCACAACCGCTTCTAACCCCAGTTCCAGGAAAGCAGACACGTACCCTTCATTAATTAAAAACAATAAACCTTACAATGATTAAGGTTTAAGCGAGGTTAGCAGTGGAGATGCACACACCTGTAATTCCAGCACTTAAGAGGCCGGGGCTGGAGAGACGGCTCAGTGGTTAAGAGAACTGACTGTTCTTCCAGAGGTCCTGAGTTCAATTCCCCAGCAACCACTTGGTGGCTCCCAACCACCTGTAATGGGATCTGATGGATCTGGTGGGTGTGAAGAGAGCAAGGAGTACTCACATACATAAGATAAATAAATCTTAAAAAAAAAAATAAAAGAGGCTGAGGCGGGAGAGATAGGAATTTATCCCATTGACAAATCGGAGACCAGACTGAGCTATAGAAAAGCCTTGCCTCAATATTACAAAAAACCAAAAGGATTTAGGCTGGGCTTGCTTCGTCTACTTGTTTTGTGGGCTCAACAAGGTTGTCTAGGTTCCCAATGCCTGGTGATAATTTAACCTAAAGGATCATAATTCCACTTAGGAATGCTATCCCTGAATATTATCTTAGTTTCCAGATAATGAATTTTTTTTGTCTTTTTTTTTTAATTTTTTCTCAAATCATAATTAATTCACACAGGGGTATAAACACAGAAAGGCAGGGTGTGGGGAAGGGAATGACACTAGAGTGTGGGTGTTCAGGGGGAATACAGATATCTTCAGAACCAGGTATCGGCTGGGTGAAGGTTGAGGGGACAAGTCACTATGACTCTGCCTGTGACTTGCTTGTCCTTATCTAAATTGGTATTGTCTGCCAAGGCTACCTATTTACAAGGTCTATGACTACTCAGGCTTATAAATTTCCACAAAAGCTGCCTGTTGACATTAGCTTATAGCCACCAGATAATGAATTTTTGTTTGTTTGTTTGTTGTTTGAGACAGGGTCTCATGTCACCCAGACTGGCCTCAAAGTTGATACATAGCTAAGGATAGCCTTGACCACCTGAGCCTTCTGCCTTTACCTCCCAAATGCTGGGATTACAAATATATTCCTCACCCAGCTTTAGAGGTCAATTTATTAGGGAAAAGTTCTAGTTGCCAACTCTCGGATTTGCATATCGGGATACCTTCATCCAGATAGCTACCACCCAGTGCTAGCCACTTATCTCAGTCCATCTTGCTAGAGAAAGTGCAAAATGTAGTTAGTGTAACCGAAGCACAAGCCGAGTCTGTTATACCTGGAACCCTGACTCTTGTGACTGAGGCTCACAAGAATGGAACCTACAAAATACATCATGCCACCTAGTGTGAAAAAGAAATTAGGAACCGATCAATGACCACAGCTTGCAATGCTGTGGATGTCTGTGAGAGGCTTGGGGGTTTGAAAAGCACGTGGATGCCTAGACACACAAGGGCAGCTGCTGGGGATTGAGCAGTGACTTCCTGCTGGAGGAAGGCTTAAAGAGCAGGGGTCTATAAGGTGGCTTGGGGGATACGGCTGAGCAAGGCTCCTGAGCAAGGCTTCAGAACTCTCTGTATCAGGGAGTATAGGAAATGCCAAGAATGTAGGAATGACATCCAAGTGGAAGAGCATGGGAAAGCAGACCTCTCGTATTTTAT